GGATGTGTGTGTGTGTGTGAATGGTTGTGTTGGTGTAGTGTAATTGACTATCAAAGGCTTATAGTTAGTGGAAATTCTAGACATTTCACGTTATCTTCTCTAATCTCTCACCTAGAAGTCCATTGTTAACCTTGGAACGCTAACCTACATTGTTTACTTTCAAGCCCCTTCCCTTAACCTTTTGGTCTTCCACCTTGAAGACAATATCTTCCCCACATCCATCTCTACCACACCTTTATTCGGTTTCCCCCTTTGCTCCCATTTGCTTTGGATTCTAGAGGTTCAATCCTTTAGTGAGGTAGGGGTTGCCTTATGTTTATCTTCTTTTTGTATCTTGCATTCTTTGTTGTTGATATACATTGTATACATGTTTTTTCTTTTTTTCGAATTCTAGGGTTATATCTAGATGTATATTGCATGAAATTAACTTAAGGTCTTACATTATTTAAGGATTGTGGAGGATCTTTGCGTTGTATTAATCTTATTTCATTTGGTGATGATTTGAAATCTAGTGATTTGGTTAGTATAACTTCAGAGATTTTATTTAGTTATTGCCGATGATTTAATTGAGTAATTAACACTAGGTTGTTAAAGTCATGGATTTGAAACTCATTTCATATTAGCTTAAATGGATTTCATATGTTGATAATATTGTAGTAACTTGAATTGTTACCCATTGTGAACTTGAAATTGTAAATGCGATTGTAGTTGAAGACTTAGGGCATGGTTGTGTGGATTTTGAAATTTGATGTGTATGGAAGGTGATTATGTGCATTGTATAACTATGTAATAGTTATAGTATTCTTGTTGATTTTGGAAATACTTGGGGTAAAGAAATATTGACATGGCTAGGGTAAGGTAATAGTATAACTATGTAATAGTTATAGTATTATTGTTAATCTTTTGTTGTCTATCCAATGGTATGCATGGTAGCATCCATTTCTTTTTGAAATGACCATTTTACCTTTAGGGACACACTTTGTCTGTTTTAAACCCTAGTTTCCGCATTTGGTTTCTTTGAGTCTCGTTACTTCTCAGGAAGTTACTTTGGTGTTTTAGAGATGGTATTCATCTTTAGAGACTTCATCTCTTCATTGCTTCTACATTTGAGATTCGTTATCGGATCAGTTTCAGGTTACTCACTGACGCACCGAGTTTTTTGAAATTTGGGGCCTCACATGCCCCGAACGAGAATACGAGGAAATAGATTAATAATTAGCACCCTTAGCCTCTAAGATGGGTGAGGTTACCTATGCGGCAATTCCTGAAGATTTTGTGGCGGGGTCTCCCGTTGAGCCTAGCTAGGGTAGACAAATACACAATATGGGAGGCATCCTCAGGCGAGGGGAGTGATGAACTTGTCCCTAACCTTGTTCAGCGAAAACGAAAGGCGAATGTGATTTAGATATCGAAGAAGGAGAGCTCAGAGAAGGTGGTAGATGTGAGTGAGGATGAATCTGATGTAGCTGCTGACTCAGGGATGGGTGGTTCATCAAATGTTAAGGAAGTCTTTAGTGGCAGTGTTAGCAACTGGTGGTTGGAAGAGGGAGATCTTAAGGCACCTAATGACAGCTGACTCTCCTCCTCCGTCGGTGAATGTAACGTGGGGTAAGAATCATTTCCTATTTCCTTGTCCCTTTTTTTTCTTTTTCTTTTTTGTCATCTAAACGTGCAATGTCTTGTGTAATATCAATTTTTGGGTCGTATTCAAGTGAAGGATATGACAAGGAATGGCAACATAAAATGCACTAAGTTCAATGGCAACAATTAAAAGAAAATTTTCAATTAAAGAAATAAAATGGTAAGAACTCACAAAAGGTCCCGAAACTGTAACTTCTCATCCTTAAACTTTGCCTTTGTTGCTAAATTCCTGCACTTGAAAAGAAAAAAGAATTAAGATGAGAAATTAGAGATTCCTAAACTACAAATTAAAGTAGAATTAATTTTTAACTTAACAAGATCTGTTACATAGTCCTTGGAAATGGCGCCAAAATTGATGTGTCTATTTTTCAATTGTAAAAGACCACTCGCAATAAAATGAATCATTTGAAGGAAAGGGATACTTTAAGGGTATCGAACCTCAGGGACTGTGGTGGCTTATCAAGTATAAAATTAATTGCTATTTTAATTTAAAGAAAGATTGTGTTTGTTGTGATGGTATTCAATAACATGAAAAGAAAATAAGCAAAATAAAATAAACTGAGATCAAGGGAAGAAGTACTTAGGGCTTTATTTCACCACAAACCTCTCAATATGGTCAACTGATTCAACTTTACATGTTTCAGTATTTATGTATAATCAAGAATTAAATGAATTAACATTATATTCAATTCAATTTTAAAAAGATAAATTATTAATGTTCATTAGGAATAACATATTTTCGGTTGGCATGAATAATCTACTTGGATACTTTAAACTAATTTGTAGAATAATTCATCTTCCCTAAGTATAAATTATCAAAATATCCATTCATAAAAACGATTTAAGTACCATTGCATGATCACTATTCTTATTGTCATAAGAAGCCCTTAGCCGCCAATCTCAAACAATGAGAATATTTTGAATTTAATTTAAGAGAAATTAGTTCTAAGACAAGATGTTAATTTTATCAAAAAACCAATTTTATTCCATTAATAACCAAATTCCTTAGAAGATCTAAGTCAATTGCTCACAATCATGCAATCAAAATACATAAATACTAAAAATCCCCAAAGTTGAAGAACAATCAAACCATAGTAATTGAATTTGGGTTACATAAATGCCCTAAGAGAGGATTTAACTACTCATGAAGACGGAGAATATCATCTTTGTTGGTGTGAAAAGCATCTTCATGGACTGTAACTTCTCTTTTAGGGATCTTCTTTTTCAATTCTTCAAAGAGAACTTCAAAAACCCTAAAAGCAGCCGCTAGATCTGAAAAATTGCAAGAGAAAAAGAGAGAGATTCCCTGTGGCCTTCACCTTCTTTTATAGGAATAACTAACTTCTAACCCTTCTTGGATGGGCTTTAGGACTTCTGGTCATCTGGGCCCGTCTGGGACTTAAAGGATGGTTTTAAAATTAATCCCGCGTTAAAAGAAGTTTCCTGAAATGAAAATGCTCGAGCTCAAATTCTTGTGCTCGAGCTTTGCAGCTTGTGCTTGAGATGCTTGAGCATTAATTTTATACTTAGCCAAATTTTCATCAAATATTTCCGAAACATCTTTTTCTTTAACACTTAGAATTTTTCTGAATTTTTCTTGAATTTGTGCTCGAGCATTAATTTTTGTGCTCGAGCATTTTGAACTTATGCTCGAGCACAAATTCTTGTGCTCGAGCTTTGCAACTTGTGCTCGAGATGCTCGAGCATTGATTTTATACTTAGCCAAATTTTCATCAAATATTCTCAAAATGTCTTTTTCTTTAGCACTTAGAATTTTTCTGAACTTTTCTTGAATTTGTGCTCGAGCATTAATTTTTGTGCTCAAGCATTTTGAATTTATGCTCGAGCATTTTAATAAATGCTCAAGCTCTGGTACCTGGAATTTTTGAAGTGTCTTTTCATCTTCCCAGGGGATTTGTGCTCGAGCTTTTCAACTTGTGCTCGAGCACATTTTCTATTGGTCGAGCTTCTTGAGAGATGCTCAAGCTTTTCAACTTGTCCTCGAGTATTTTTGACTTAGTCATTTTTTTCTTCTTCAATCCACTTTGTGCTCGAGGACAAATGGTTGTGCTCGAGTTCTGGCACTTGAAATTCTTTAAAAATCCCTAATTAAGTCTAGAATGATCTCGGATGGTCCGGTACAACTCCATAAGCTTCAAAAACATTTATTTGAGCTCCAGAATCATGATTTTGTCATGTTCTTCGAGAAATCACCTACAAAAAGCAAACAAACTAAAATAAGCATAAAACCGGATAAAAGTATCACTTAAGGTCTTAACATACACACGTTTAAGGGCTCGATAATGCAATATTCAGGGCTAATCACCTCATGTTCAACTTTGATTATTTTTTTGCCAAAGTCTGTGGAAGATACCAATTTTCACTGGAAGTCGGAATCGGCCATGTATTAACCTTTTTATTGGAAGTTAGCCGATAATTTGTGGGACCTTAACTGCATTTGATACATTCACCTCTATATGGCCATGTGCTAAGCTCCTACTGGCCATTGGAATAAGAATATGATGCTTTAAGTTTCATTGGAACTTGCCACGTGCCACTTTTTGATTGAAGGGCGACAGCTGAAAATTAGGGTGTAAACATTTTGTTTATGCATTTTTATTGTTCTATAAGACAACCAATAAAAAAAAAATAAAAAAAAATAAAAAAAAGGAAAAAGAATTTCTGATTCTTTTGAGAATGATGACAAGGAGGATGTAGGTCATAAAACTGAACCTATTCAAACTGGTCACGTATGATTTAAGTTAGTTGAGTTTTAATAGCTCAAGCAGTTGGATTTGATTTAGAGAAATGCCAGGGAGCCGTGATAGTTGATCGGGAATCAGTCAACTGAAAATCAATCACAATACCTGAGGGATTCTTTTGATTGGTCAACCCATCACAAAACTGTAAAATAAAAATTTAAAAAGAATATATTATTTACTGTCATTGGTTGAAAATTAATCAGAAGAGACCAGGTGTTCTGATTAATTTTTAACCAATCACTAAAGCGAGATAATTAAAAATTGAAAAACAATTTTTAAGAACAATTAAAATTTGAAAATTATTTTTAGAGCCTTTCATAATTTTCTTAAAACAATTGAAATTTGAAAATTGTTTGAAGATAATTGAAGCAAAAGAAGTCCAAAATCACTACTAGTATGTCTAATTTACACATCTGTCTACTATTTGACTTGTTCTATCATTAATATCATGTGCAATTTTGCTCTTGGTGCAGCACAAAAAATGGGTCATCCTAATTGGTGTCACGTGTCCTTACATAGAAAATATTACCTGATAAGACGAAATATAAGTCCTTGCTTTTACACGTGCCCTTGATGCCAAAAATGGCAGCAGTTCATAACCAAGAGGCGTAAAATTTGTTGTATGCTGGATCCATAATGTGGATGAAGTACGAGTAGTCTCATCTTTTACGCATTTGAAACAACCGACTTTGATCACAGAGAGAGATATGGCCTCTCTGACTGTTCCTCCTGTTCTTACATCCCCACGGGACGATGCTACCCAACTTCACCATGCTTTCAAGGGTACTCTCTCTCTCTCTCTCTCTCTCTGAAATTACTTTCAAGACTTTAAATATACATGACTTTGTTTGGTGGGTTTATGATATTTAATCATCTTCAGCAATTTTAATTTCGGGGTAGTAATGATTTCTTGTTTTATCTTTTGTTGAAGGGGCTTCTCTGTCAATGTATTTCTAACTTTTTGCTTTGTTGATTTTTCTTCTCTTTATGTGTGTTTGTTCAATTTTGTCAAGAATTTCAATAAAAAGTAATGAATTTAGGTCTGGATCCTTCTCTATTGGGATTAATTAATTAATTAATTTATTTATTTATATTTTTTTTATGTTATGCTCCATATGCAAATGAATAATTTTGAAAAAATATATTTGAGTATTTTATCTTTTAAAAATAAAATAAGGTTGCTGGAACAGATTCTTAAATTGACTATTTCTCTCCGATTATGGTTGCTTGTTGAACAAATCTTATATTTATGAAATTCTTGTTTCATAAGCTTCTCGTGCATGTATATTACTTTTTTGATGTACTGTTTTTGAGATATGAATTTTTGAAGTTAGGATGAATTAGGATTTAAATAAAATAGCAATAAGGGTATTTTGGTCCAAATATTCACTCTTTATTCCCTTCAATAGTTGGAGGGCGTTCTTTGGTAAAAATTTAGACAAGGAGAGTTTACTGGAAAAGGCCCATAGTCGAGGTGTGTTTGTTGTACTTTGCCCTAGATTTAACTCTGAGTTTCTCTATTATTCTCAAGGTTTAAATACTATTTGTTTCCCATACTCAATCCATCAGTAATTAAATGAGTATTTTTAATATATATTTAATATATATACTCCGTGGTATGATCTCTCCTTTCCAAAGAGAGGTCGAGAGTTCAAATTGCAAGAGGCATGCTATAGGTATGAGTGTAAGTATTCCTATTAAACAGTCAGTTGTATAAATTTTCACTAGTGTTCTACAACTTAACTACCAATCAATTCATGTCCTTAAAGTCTTAGAGGGTTGATGAATTTCAAATTTCTAAAAGGAGACATGGCATTGCTTGTTAAGTATTGTTTATTTGGGTGCCACAGTTTTCATACTCTGTAGTTTGACATCATTCCCTCTTTGAAAACTAATTAGGGCTTGGTTCCAATTTTTAACACAATTATTAATCAAATCCAGTATAACTAAATCCATTAGGTCTCGATTATCACATTGCAATCTAGTTTTTAAAAAATCTAATGCACAAAGCCACAAAATAGTTTTTATATTAAAATTGGGATTTATTTTTTAATTGTTAGCTATAATAATTTATATCTAAACTTTATTCTCCTTGGAAATGCCACACAAACATATTCTCATTGCATCAATCTATTGAGACAATTTTGTGAAAATCATTTAATAAATCATTCATTTCAGTAGTTAAATAAGGAGAATTGATGCCTCTTATCATGAAAGAGCTCTTGTAATAGTATTACTTTTAATCACTTACATAGGTTAAGACCCCAAGAAAATATAAAAACGATATATATGCCAAATTCCATGCCTTTGAGGCATCCCTCTAAATGGCCAATTTCACATTAGATTGGTTTTTGTTATACCATCAATAACTTTGTATAGAATACCATCAATGTGAAATGTGAACCTTGGATTATGTAAAATTAATTTAACATTTAAGGGACTTGATCCTCTCCTGTATAGCTTTGTGTATTGTACTTTGTCATACATTTAAATCAATGAATACATTTAAATCGATGATGCAAAATACCACGCAATGCCATTTATTGAGGATTCAACGTACACCATGCCCCACCATTTGCAAAATCATTAAATCAAGGATACTTCGTTGTAAATGTGTTGCATTCTCAATTTGATATGTTGCATCCTCGGTGGTGCATCCTTGAAGTAAACATGTCGTATAAGTGTTTGCATCAGTATCGCATTAGTGTTGCGTAAGATATGTGGATTAGCTTTTTGATTTAAAATGCATAAAATCATCTAGTGCACCGGAGATGATCCTAATACCAGATGTAAGGGTGTTATAGTCATGACCTCATAGTTCTCTTTATAAAATATTAAATCAAAACATGATGTTTATCATGTGACTTCTTGTACGCATTAGATTTTGGAAGGAAAATTTTCAAAAAATTAATATTTTTTTCTAAATTATTTTAATTTTTTAATTCATTAAAATGACAAAAGTTCCAATTGACTGAAAAGTACTTCCTCAGTTGTAAAATGGTTGTTTCTTTTTCTATTTCTGGTTGTCCCAAAATTCATGTTTCATTTAGAAAGTCAAGCAATTGCATTTTCACAAATATATATCTGAAGTTTGAAAACTTCCCAACTCCAAAATATACATTATAAATTAATTGAATGAAATAAATAAATACAGTAGAAGACTGGTTTTCAAGAAATTTCATTGTGTTCACTACTTATTTCAATTTGTATGTCTTTTTCTACTCCCTCCAGGATTTGGCTGTGATGCTGAAGCAGTGATCAATATTGTTGCCTACCGTGATGCAACACAGCGCGCTCTTATCCAACAAGAATACAGAGCAATGTTTTCTGCTGACCTGCGCAAAAAATTGGCTTCTGAGCTTAGCGGCGATTTAGAGGTATCAACATACAACTTCTACTCCTTCATTTCTATCTTGTGGCTTCTTTCTTATGGTAATCTTGTGTGTGTGTGTGTGTGTGTGTGTGTATCAGGCGGCAGTTCTTCTGTGGATGCATGATCCAGCAGTACGTGATGCTGTTATATTGACGGAGGCACTAAAAGGGAACTGCCTTGAAGTTGCCACTGAAGTGATATGCTCTCGTACTCCATCCCAGATACACTTGTTCAAGCAAGCCTACTATTCAATGAATAAGGTCGACCTTAAACATGATATTGAAAAACATGCCTCTGGAGATCATGAAAAGGTAAGCATCTCTCTTTCGTCTCAGTTTATCTTTTAACTGAATTGATCTTAGAATGTGAGTTTAGGCTAGTTAGACTCTATAGAGACCTAATTTTTAACATTATTGATTCCCCAAAATAACTGTGCATAGAGTTCATTGTGTTGATGTTACAATTGCCACAACAAACACCACCATCAACTTCTCCGATTTAGTTCTTAAATTTTTCTTATTAAAAAAATTTCATTTCTTTATATTCATGGATAAATTGATATATCAAGTGTGTTGATTATCAGAGATAGAAAGACAAAGAGAGAAATATAATATGAAAGAATAGATTGAATTGATGTATATAGAATTGATGTTAATGATAATGATACAAAGCAAGTATAAATAGGCTAACATCAAACGGCTAGTAAATCACTATTACAATGGCTATAATATAATGTGATTATGGTAGCATATAATATATTCTAATTATGTTAACATCCCCCCTCAAATTCAAGTTGGTAGAGCAGAAACCAACTTGAGTTTGGAGAGAAAATCTGGAGCAGAAGACGGTACCGATGTTGTGAAGATCTGATATGTTGAGGTGCACATGATAGACTACTTACGGCAAGTGTGGTAGCCTTGAGAGAGCTCTTGAAAGCAATTATTAGAGTGGAATTTACCACTTGAGAGACGTACAGATGCGTAAGACAGAGCGGGATTACCGCTTGGTAGAGTGGTATAACCAGTTGAGATGCGCACAGGCACATAAAGACCACTTTACGACAGATATGGTAGCCATGAGCTCTTGAAAGCTAATAATTGAGTGGAATCATAGAGTGGAATTTACCACTTCAGGTGACGAAACTGCAAAGTTTCGACATGTTGAGAGTGCTTAAAAGCACGGCGAGAGTGGGATTACCACTTGAGGTGCTTGGGAGCACATTGAGAATGGGATTACCACTTGAGGTGCACTAAGGCACATGACAGTGCTTGGAAGCGTGTGATAGAAATGTTGATGACATGGCGCTTGGAAGCGCATGATAGAGCCAGATCAATGCCGAGAAACTAGGTGGGCTGTACTCCGAAAACTGGAACTGGTCGGAATAGGCCCCCTCAAGTTCTAGAGGGATATCAGGAGCGCTTAGAACTTGAATCTGAAATTGGGCCAAACCTTTATCGAACTGGGCCAAAGATTTATCTAGGCTAAATACTGAACTGGGTTTGGAACAGTCCAAACAAGTAAACAAATATATATATATATATTGAATTGTGACAGACATGTGGGCCTGCACTTTTGGCTAATGTATAGAGATAGAAAGAAAATTGGTTTAGAGAGAGAAAGTGAGATGGGTGTTGAGTCAGCCAGGGAGGTAAATGAGAAGAGCCAAGAATCGATAGAGAAATGGCAGAGTGAGACGATGCGGGAGCGTCGGAAATCAGAGGAGCTGGTAGAGAAGCAACCTGAGTTGAGATCGGTGCTAATAGTGCTGACAATCTGAAACGCCTTGGACGGTGTCGGCGATGAGCAAGATGGACAGAGAGTTTCACAATGAGGAACTGCGATGAAGCATCGGTGGATTCACCCCGGGGCCGGCCATAACAACTTTGGGCTTTCGCCACGCCGATGTTGGAATTTCGAGTTTCTGGATCTCGCTGACATGGATCTTCAGTGGTGGAGTTATAAACTGTTTCTCTCTTCATTGCAGAGGAGATTTGATGAGAGAGAAAGGACGTATCGGCTATGATACTGGGTCTACACAGCGGTATACCGACAGTGACTGCAAAGACACCGGAGCCAGCGATGGAGATGAGAACCGTTGAGTCGAAGTCATAGAGCTTGACCTGGTATGGTACTATTTCTGATGTTTGGCTACGAGCTACGGAGAGCTGGAGGGAGCTTGGCTGTTAGAGGAATAGTCGGCAAGCTTGGAACTGAATCGGCGGTTGTAGAGAGAGGTAAGGTGACAGATGAAATTCTATCGGCGGTGGAAGCAACGAAACCCGTTGATCTCTAGTCCGATCGTGTAGATGAATGATTCTGGACGTGAGGGGCGCAAGTTTGGAGACTGGAAGAATGAACTGGGTACAGAGTCTGTGCTGCCATCTGAGGGCGGATGGGTTCACGCTGGCAACCTCTTCGACGAATCCCAATTAGGTTGATTTGGACACCTTGGCGGCGGACTTCATGGCTGGTAACCAGTTGGCGCTGAGTGTGCCGACGCAGATCGCGTCGGCGTGAGGAGTGAAGTCTGGGAAGGCCATTTCGGCCCCTTCCAGGGATGGGTTGGGGCCGGGACTCGGAGGGATACAGAGGAGTGGGACACCACAGATTGGCAGTGGGGCAAAGGCAAAGCTTGAGAGTTGAGAGACAGCGGGCTATGGAAACTGAAAGCTATGGGTTTTGATTTTTTTTTTTTTTTTTTATTCTTGCGGACTTTACAGTTAGAGAGAGAGAGAGAAGAAGGTCAGAGTTGAGAACAGAGGCAGAGACGATGACTCAGAGGTTGGTTTAATTGAGGACCTTGGACCGCCACCGGAGATGAGGCTTATGCCGACATCTCCGGCGGTGCTCTGATACCATGTTGATTATCAGAGATAGAAAGACAGAGAGAGAAATATAATATGAAAGAATATATTGAATTGATATATATAGAATTGATGTTAATGATAATGATACAAAGCAGGTATAAATAGGCTAACATCAATCGGCTAGTAAATCACTATTACAACAGCTATAATATAATATAATTAGGGTAGCATATAATATAATCTAACTATGTTAACAAAGTGAAATGAATGATGTAGCTTTTGGTTGCATATATAAGCACATCTCGACATGAAGGCTTTGAGGTTGATATGCATATGGTTGAAGCGGATGAAATGGCTCTCTATAAAGCAGGGGAGAAAAAAATGGGAACGGATGAGAAAACTTTTATCCGCATTTTCAGTGAACGAAGCAGTGCACATTTAGCTGCTATCAACTCTGCTTACCGAAAGAAGCATAAGAAGTCACTGAAAAAGGTGTGGAATAGTCCTTATTTTCTATTCGTCTCTTTTGGCATCATAAATTCTTATTATAATGCCTAAACATTTGTGGCAGGCTGTGAAGAGCGAAACTTCCGGAAAATTTGAGCTTGCACTTTTGACAATCCTACGCGTTGCAGAAAATCCCGCCAAGTATTTTGCAAAGGTTGATATTCATTTAGTTATGTGTTTGGATGCTATGAAAACTATCCCAGAAAAAGCATAATGTTCTGTATTGTATAGCGTCGTTTGTTGCCACGGAAACCATCTTCTATATCTATACTACATTTAGAAGTGTTTATTATTATTATTATTATTATTTATATACATTTTTTTATGCATTTTTGAATCAATAACATTTAATACCACTATATATATATATATATATATATATATATATATATATCTGTACCAATCTGTAGGAGATCGAATTGCATGCATCTTACACACCTTTGGAACTTTGCAGGAACTACAGAAGGCAATGAAAGGGTTTGGAACTGATGAAAAGAAACTTACAAGGTTAATTGTGACGAGGTCTGAGATTGATATGCAGTACATAAAAGCTGAGTACCACAAGATTTACAAGAAGTCATTGAATGATGTAGTTCGCTCGGAAATATCAGGGAATTACAGGACCTTCCTTCTCTCCCTCCTCGGTCCCATCCATTAAACCTGATGATCAATGTTAGGTGCTCACAAGCACAGTAATTTGCTACACTTTTTAGGTGGCCACTTGCTTGGGTCAAGACCTTTCTGTGTTTTTGGTGAATAAAGCATATCATTAAAGGGGAAAGAAAGAAGAACTGCTCACTAGATCTCCTACACATAGCTATCAGAAGCAATAATTTTCTTTGAATCAATTTAGACAGGTATAGATTTAAGTCGCGGACTTGTGCATCGGAGGGATTCGAACGCACACGCGTATACTGAATACGATTCGTCCAAACATCGAAGGTCTATCCTACTATCCAATTGCACTATCAATTTTTGATGCATTTATATTAGAATTGATCAACAATATCCCCAAAGGTGTGATTGACCTCAGCTTCAACAGTAAGTTACGACCAAGTCCAAGAACTAGGAGGAGGAAATCTAGGAGTCCAAAAGCTCCTCCTTCTGAGTAAATACTAGGAAGCACGGGCATGTACGTTTTTGGAGGTGCCGCGACGGTGTCCATCGGACACACATGACAGTTGGACACCTATAGATAACACGACTAAAAGTGACTAGAATTATTCACATTTTTAAATGATTATTTTTTGAGATAAACACAGCCTGAATACGCCAAGGACACGGCCAAGACACAGCAGGATCAATTTGTGAATTTTTTTTTAAGAAAAAAACAAACCATGGGGTTTTAGCTCAAATTTTAAAATGTATTGGGTTAAAAATATTTAAATGTAAGAATTAGACTTAAAAGCACAGCAACATTAATGCAACATACCTTCCTTATTACAGCAATCTGCATACAAATACTTTGCCCAATAAACTTATTAAATAAACACCAATCATTAGCTTTTAGGATCTCCCAGCAGCAAGCGAGAGAGAACCTGAAAATGCTCCTCCAAGGGTAATCTTGGAAATATGGGAGGAAACTAAAACTTGATATATACGGTAAAGATTATTAAGTGATTCGTATTTTGGTTAGTAAGAGAAGAATGCTATTGTAGGTCACAATAAGGTCAATCCCAAACGTGGTATCCACCAAGTAAAATTCCTCCCATATTGGTGCTCTTGACATATCGAATGCTTGAATAAAAATATTTTTTCAAGCATTTTGAGAGCAAAATTGAGTTTTCAGATATTTTTTCAAGCATGAAATCAACCAACAACATTGACGAATTTTATTAGTGGGGATGTTGGTTTTCCTTTTACTAGAACTATATGAAAGGTCAGTATTATTTTTAAATTAGGGTGGGAGGTCTTTATAATAGTCATTCTATAGGGGAGATTCGTATAATTTTCCCAATTGTTCAATTATAGGGGAAATCCTCATCAATGGGACCCCAGCAGGATTTATTCAACCAGCTAGGGGCCTTAGACAAGGCTGCCCTCTTTCTCCTCTTCTTTTCACTCTGGTCACTGAACATCTTTCACAAACTATTAATGCAGCAGTGCAAAAGAGGACTCTAAGCCTTCTTCATTCACTAACTCAAGCTCACTCAACTTTTACTCATATATTTTTTGCGGATGATCTTCTAGTGGCTTGTAAGGCATCTATCTCTAATGCTAGAACATTAACTAAAATTTTCAGCAGTTTGAAGAGACCGCAGGTTTGCAAGCAAGTCATCTCAAAAGTAGGGTCCTATTTTCCAAGGCTGTCCGAAGAAAACAAAGGCTGCTACGGGTCTTGAATTGAACAGACGGCACTATTCCAATCAAATATTTAGGCCTTCCTCTTTGCCCAACCGGATTGAAAGCCTCTCACTGCCAAGGCTTAATTGATAAAGTTTCCAACAAAATCCTTTGTTGGAATACTAAACTTCTATTTACAGCAGGGAGAGTAAAGTTATTGAAGACTGTGGTGACCCCTATTGTGTTTTATTGGTGTGGTATCTATAATCTTCCCTCTTCTATCATTCATAAAATTCAGAGAATGTGAAGAGAGTTTGCTTGGGGCAGCAAAGAAAATACAAGGAAAATTCATCTGATGAATTGGGATCTCATCACTCGAACCAAAACTGAAGGTGGGCTTGGGTTGAGGAAATTGGTTGATATTCAAACAGCAGCTTAATGTGGATTGGCTTGAGATTTTTTGGTCAGCAAAGATAGGCTTTGGTGTTGGGATCATATGCCCTACAAGCTAATTATTTATTATTTATTCGATATTTTATTAATTAATTAAATATTCATGCATTGGGCTTTATATATATTTGTATGAGATGCATTATAATCTTCAAGTTGCATTATAGGTAACTTAAGTTTGTGAATGAGATTTACACGCATGAGATTTGGGCTCACCGGTTTCTTACACCTTGGCATTGTTCGTAGTCAATGATAAAAGTTAGCACTTTTATCTGTAAGACTGTAACACACTTGACCTCTATAAGATAAGAGAATTTGTCTCGACCATTGGGGTAGTTGACTCTAAGACAATGTGTTAGTGTGCTTGGAGTATACTAAACTAGATCACCATAAGATCACACCATACAATATACTGTTATTATTTTGGTATGTTTCTTATCTACTAAATTCATTGACTTTAAATCCTGAGGGATTTAGTGAACTCAAGTTTCAATACTAGTCACTTTGACTTACCACGGTATCTTGGGTGGATAATGTTAGAGCTCTGGGAACACAAATGCTCAACATGGAATCCACACTCTTTATAAGAGTTAAAATATCCCCTTGATGCAATTTAATAAGTTAACACAGGAACCTGACTAGGGCATTTTAGTAAAATGTTTACTAAATTATTTTTCGATTATTTATTTAGAAAAATATTTATTTTGTAAAATTCTTTTATAAAATAATTTAATTCAATGATTATAAGGATTAAGACGGTATATATTTTCCTGGGACTACTTATGAATATTCGATAGTGGAAGGGCTTATATGTAATTATTTAGTAGACGGGGCCTTGTAGTCATTTCTAAATCCTAGAGTGCAATTACAATATTATTGTGGTGCTTATTGTAATTAATTAGATATGATATAGTTCTGTAACGCTGCGATACAAAATATAAAGAGTGAGAGATCGAAAAGGTCGCGGTTCCACAAACCTATCATCAAGGTCATAGAGGTGAAGACTCATTGATATTCAAGGTCAAAGGAAGAGTAATAAAATTCACTGTTATTCTCGGAGTGTTGACGATTAATCAATTGTCAAAAAGGTATGAGATCCATTTTCAGTACTTCTTGATTTGATGAAAAATCACGTGGATAAGATCCAGAAATTTTATAATCGCTTCTGTTTTATCCTTCAATTGGTATCAGAGCTACCTACTTACTTTTCATTAAATCATGATAATTTAATCGGGGTCATAGAGGTGAAGACTCATTGGTATTCAAGGTCAAAGGATGAACAATCCAATTCACTGTTATTCTCAGAGTGTTGATGATTAATCAATTGTCAAAAAGGTATGAGATCGTTTTTCCGTACTTCTTGATTTGATGAAAAATCACGTGGATAAGATTTAAAAAATTTTATAATCGCTACCGTTTTATCCTTCAATTGATATCAGAGCCACCCACTTGCTTTTCATTAAATCATGATGATTTAAGTAGCTCAAGTTTTTTTTGAAGTTCATGATTGTTGCGTCTACCTCGATCACTAAATATGAACTCCTCATCATCGGAATAATACGCATAGGTTGGAGACCTACATGGATATACAAGAATATAACCTATGTTCGATTAGCTGCGAAACACATCATCAACGCAAACTTGAACTGAACCACGAACCGTTGCCACCAATCCAATCCACAAAGTATGGTACTTTGAATCCACAAAGCAAGAGATAAATTCAGATAAATCTTATAATTGTATTGATAATCGAATATGTAATTCTGCTCTCTGTGTTACATGTATATTTATAATAAAGAAAACCTAACACTAGAAGAAAACTAAAAATGTAAAGAAACTAATCCTAGAAATAAACCTAAAAATAAATTCTTTATAAAAATTCTGAAAAATAGAATAAGAAACCTAATCAACAAAAACTATTAAATCTAAAATTTGAGAGCAATCTGAGTTCGTTTAGGCCTTCAACAAAAATCTTGAAATAATCAGCAGGCCTCCTATAAGATAATAAAATGCGATTTTGGAACCCTAAAAGAAGGTTTCAGCCGTAAAACGACATGGCACACAAGCAAGATTAATCTTCAGTGACCATTTCGATAAATTCAAGTACGTTTAAAAGGGGATAGGAAACTTAAGCGAGATTTCAACTAGGGATGGCAATTTGCCCTGCCCCCGCGGGTACCAGCCCGGCCCAGTCCCATTTTTTGCGATTTTGGGGGACCGTTTAGTTTATTTGGGAGGTGATAGTTTGATGTTATTGAAAACCCGCGCGGGTTCGGTGTGGGGGCGGGGGCAGGTCGCCCCGCCCCTACCCGACCCGTTTAGATAGGAAAATTACTTAAGTACCCTAATTTCATTAGTATATATATTTCGCATGAGTACCCATATTTCATTAGTATATATATTGAGATAGTTTGTTTTGCAACAAAATCTAAAAATCTAGAACAAGTAGCTTGCGCGATCATTAGAATGTTTTTAATATTCAATTTTATGTTAAACTATTTATTCTCCATATTTTGTATGAATCTTTTTGTGATGTTTCCGATTTTCAGCGTTTTTCAATTTTCAGAAATTCGTGTCGCTGCAAGGGCATTTTCGACCTTTCACATTTTGTGTATGGGATCTTAGTAGTGTCCAATTTTATTTTTGTACATTTTAATTTATGTGGATTAAATGATATTTGTAAGTGGTGTATTTTTATCTATGTGGTGTAAATGGAGGATTAAAGAAAAAAAGAAAATAAAAAGAAGTAGCGGGACCTACCACTAGTGTAAATAATGGTTACAGACCATTTTTGGTCTCTCAATTCTCTCTCTCCCCGCTACCAGCTCTCTCACTCTCTCAAACTTCAATTTTCCTTCTTCTTTTGCTTCAAATCTTTGAAGCTTGATAGCTACTTCATTACTTGCTGGATTTAGGTGCTGTTTGAGGCAAAACGAAGAGCACAACGAGCTCTACGCATACATACAAGCAATTTCAGATTTGGTGCCCTCCTTGATTTTCGAATTCCTTGACCCATTTCAAGGGTTTTGCTCATTTTGAGGTAGGGGCTTCCTAATTCACATTATTCATGCACCTTTGTGATTTATTCTACTTGAATTGTGCTATAGCATGCTTATTAGTGTTAATTGTAGCCTAAAATGTCTTGATTGTATATATGTGAATATATGAAGACTTGTCTTGATTGTGCTATATGAGAAGCATGC